CCATTAGCATCAGTCGTGCTTCCATTTTTGATTAACATCCCCTTGCAGCTTTCCTCTGTGGCGCTTAAAGCTTTGAGGAAAGATGACATGTGGGATATAGTTTTCTGCTGATGGTGTTTCCATGGCTGGGTGTGATTTTTCTCACTTTTGCTTTGCCCCTGTTTTTTAGATTCCTTAATAGGATTCTTTTTAAGTGGCTCCTCCGCCAGAGGTTTGTGGCAGCTGAAAGGCGAGTATCCACACAAGAAGTCATCATTGTAAACTGCATCATCTCCAACACAGAGACTTCGGAAGGCTCGATCGGTGAGAGTGCTAACCTCCCGATCGGTCTCGTCCATGAACAAGTCCGTGAAGCCATTGGGGAAGCGGTGGTGGAGCATGCTCCCTGCCCGATGGCTCATGTGTCGCTTTTCCACGCAGCTCATGATGTCAGCGACTGTCTTTGCGTCTTTGCATCACCAGCTGTGCCTCCTGTACAGCTGCTTCTCCTCTGCAGGTTCCAATTTCTTCCAGCTCAGGATGACATCTGGAAAGCGGTGGGTTACGTAAATTTCCTAAAAAACAAGCCATTGAAATCAGTGTTAGTTTTCACATAAGCTTTTCTAAAACCGTTTAACTGTCACACAGTTTAAGCAGTTAACTGTTAGCATTTGTGCAAGTCAAGAATCCAAAAATGGTTGTTTGACTGACATGATTACTTTAAATGGTTTTGAACTCGCTGCACTGATGACCTTTATGTACACAACATGTGCTGGCTACAGCCATGCTGTCACTATGCAGGCAGTAGACAAACACTTCATACCATGCAGTTATTTTAAGCATCACATGATGCCTTAAGCTGTGAGCACCAAGCATGGGATGAAAATAAATGCTTCCCTTTTTTAGGAAAAATATGAAGATTTCTGTTATTTGTGTCCACATATTTGAAATAATGATATTCTTCACAATCAACATTCACTTTAAAAGAAGAAGATCTTTCATTTAAATGTCAAACATTTGTTCAGCTGTTATCTAGATATATTTTTTGCTAAGCTTTAGATGCATGACAATATTGACATGAATCTATAGAAAAGAAGGCAGGAAATGTGAGTAAATCGTCAGTCAGTGTCACAGATCAGCAGCAGCTGCTCTACTGTAGCTTCCTTGAGCTATGTGGGTGAGGTTTTAGAATAGCTCATTAACCTATTTATACGGCCTGACCTGGGAGCATAGCCACAGACATATAACTCAAGTCTTCAACTATTCACACAACCATTGCTCTCCATATAAGAGGTTTGATTGAGACAAATATAACCGTACACACTTCATGAATTATAGATATGTTTAGCGCATTAAAATGGAATAAATGGAAAGCAGATCTCTCTCCAAAGAAGTGTTTACATTCACAGTCAAGAATGATTTTCAGGAAAGGTGGATACATTTAAAACAGAGAAAAATAAGATAAATGAATATTATGATATTTACTTTTATTTTATTATCTGAACCTAACAGATTAAATATCCAAAACTGGGTCGCTTTACTGTATCCTAGACTAGACTTACAGAAGACTTTGGCTTTCCAGGACTCTTCACTTGCCAACCATCTTAAAGCAGAGATCAGTTAGCGCCACGGTACTTTCCCAGCATCTGCCTGTGTATTTATACCCAAGGAATGAGTTATCCAAGTCACCTATACTGTATAAAGGCAAAAACCACTGGAGTGTAATTTTAGTTGTCCTAATTGTTCTCAATGTTAGTATATCTGATGTGAAAGTAAAATAAATAAACACGGTTATTTTAGAGTAAGAAAACTAATGTATGTCCAATTTTTGAGATTAATGTTTAGCACAAAACTTTGAAAAGTTTAAAGGTTTTAAGGTACATGTCTTTATATAAAAATCACACTGCTCCCTCACCTTGGTGATGGGTCTTTCATGCTGAGTTTAAGAGTCCGAGGTTTGCATAAAACCAAGTCCTAAATGTAGAATCCAAGGATCCGCCTGTCGAGAACACATTTATAGTTAAATGTTGTCAATCGCTGGTGTGGATGAAGAAATAAAGAAAGCTCACCAAAGTGAGTCAAGCCCTGAGATCCATGTTCGAATGCGCTGGTGTGGCCAGGCTTCTGATTGTGAACTCAAATGATACCAAAATAGACGCACAAGTCGGTGTGGCCAAACTGAGCAGCAACAGAGGGCCCAGCTAGCTTGCTCACATTGGAATATCCAGTGGGTGTCGAGTGGCAGGGCAAGACAGAGGGGCAGGATGAAATGGACACTGTCATTGGTTATTTTTATAACAAGGCAGTGAGGGCTGATAGACATGGGCCCACTGTTTACCTTTGCCAACCCTGAAAACATGACAAGGCCTTCCTGTCAATAGAGATTAGCCATTGTTTGGGTTTATCCTTGGACAATAAAGACGAATGATGTACACTTTTATGGTTATACCACTCGCTAGCATTTAGCAGCTGACTAATTCTGCTACTGTCTCCCAGGGAAACAAGCTTTCTGATATTGCATCACAAAGTCCCTGAAGTGGAGATTGGCAGCTGGAGGCAGACGTCTGCTGACTGATACGGCGGAGCTGGGCTCATTCTTGTTGTTGAAGCTCTGTTTACAAGACTCTGTGTGACTGAGTAATCTAGTTTTAGGACCAGCAGCTGTTGTTGCTGTGAGATTACGATGAGACAGAGCTGGAATTTTGTTGACTTGTTACCCTTTGTGAGGCAGAGAAAGTCGATAGGTGAGGTCATATGTAGTGGTTAACCTTGTGTAGTCTCAAAATGGAGGAAGTTGAGTGTTTGAGAAACGTTGGGCAGCTCAAATTTATTTTATACGGGAAAATATAGTCACCAAAAATAGGTCAACTGTAGCCTTTGCAACAGCCATAGCTTCACCTATTTTAAGTGGAATAACTCAGTTAACTGGAATTTTGACTTTTTACAGCAGCTGGTAAACATCAAGTAATTTTAGTAAGCTAATTTAGACATGGCTATTTCACTTTTTATCTACTGACATCTTGGCTAGCTCAAGCATTCAGAGACCTGCAATAGTAAGGAACTGTAAGGAATATGCACTCGCCAGCCTTTCTTTTAGGTATGCATTTATGATAAATGGACAAACAGCTCACACAATGTCTTAAAGCATTAGGCTAAACAATCTACAGTAAATATGAGCACTTCCACAAATACATACACTCCATACACATTTGTTTAACCTGGCATAGATGCACACGTGGGAATTAACACGGGAATGTTGGACATCTTGCAACTGATGGAATTTTCCATGTAAGTTTGTTCAAACTTGTCAGAAATCTGATATCAGAGACTGAAAACCAGTTATGCAAAATCCATGTAAGCTAACCATCCGTTTTCTTCCATTTATCCACTGGAGTCAATCACAGCTGTCATAGGACGAGAGGAGGAGAACACCCTCAAGAGGTCACGAGTCTGACAACCATTCACACCTATGGGCTATTTAGAATCACCAGTTAAACTAACACCATTAAGTGAACTCATACTAATAAGGGAGAACGTGCAAACTCCAGACCACACCCAGATAGTGGATCTGAGCCCAGGACCTTCTTGCTGTAAGGCAACAGTGCTAACCACCACATCTATGCGTTTCCCTTGCATAGAAGTTATTTCTGGTTAATTGTAGTACTTCAAGGGTCTGCCCGTTTTATAGAAGAATATTACTGTAAATTATTTAAAAAAGACACTTTTTCATTGTGGTGCTGTTCAAAGTATACAATGTTTATGCATACACATTGATGAGAATCCTATCTCTGGTTATTTAAATATGTCGAACTGGGATGTATATGAACATCAGAGGCATTGACTGATGTGCATAAAGAGAATGGAAAAAAACCAACAACCAATAAACAAGATCAGTGCCTCACAGTCCAGATCCAGGCTTTTTTTTTACCATTATGACTGACACCCACATCTGACACCAGCCTGGATCATGCTTCTTCATGCCTGCTGAGAATTGGGACAGGCAGGGAAAGGGGGTAACCAGCCTCAAGTTCTGGCAGGCTAATAAACCCAGGTATGGGAATTCTAGGACAGCTGAGACAGATCATGTACAGTGGAGGTGCAGTGAAGGTAAAAATAGGTAAAAAGCATCAAGAAAGACCTGATACATGACTTGTTTTACCAGCTACATTCGTATCTTGATTATAAACTCAAACTGAGTAACTGCTATGTCTGACATCCCTTAAAATAGGGAATATATTGTGTAACAATTAAGATAAGATAAGATAAGATAAGATAACCTTTATTAGTCCCACATGTGGGAAATTTGTTTTGTCACAGTAATAAGATAATTATTTCTAAGATAATTATTATAAATAATTAATAATAAGATAATTATTTATAAGACTACTGATTTCTCAAGAAAATTTGCATAGTGAAAATAAAAGAGTCAAGTAGGTCACTGCAGAAAGGAAATTCTGCAAACTACAGAGCTGCTCTGTTATTATAATAGACATTAAAGGTGTTTTGTTAAACATTTCTTTTTCATCCACAGCTGAGGTTAGAAATGTGCTTTGATCTGTTGGAAGAAATGACTCAACA